GTCGTGGTCGTGGTCGTGGTCGTGGTCGTGGTCGTGGTCGTGGTCGTGGTCGTGGTCGTGGTCGTAGTAGTAGTAGTAGTAGTAGTAGAAGTAGTAGTAGTAGTAGTATAGTAGTAGTAGTAGTAGTAGTAGTAGTAGTAGTAGAACCAGTACCAGTACCAGTACCAGTACCAATGCCAGTACAAGTACCAGTAGTAGGAGTAGTAGGCGTAGTAGGAGTAGTAGGAATAGTAGGAGTAGGAGGAGGAGTAGTAGTGGTAGTAGTAACATTAATGGGAATAGCAATAGTAACTTAGCAGTGGTCCTAGGCGGCACGTTGCTGCATTGGGGTGAGACCTCCCTGATTCCCTGCTCGAAATTCTAGATTCTAACGGCACCTTCCTGCTCTACATGTTACCCTGATTGGCTCAAAGAAGGTCTGCCATCTTGGATGGCACTAGATTTTACCCACAGGTGGCAAAAGGTTTGCGACCTTGGAATGGCACCTTCCTCTCTCCTCTAAAGTTTACCCTCGGGTGGCGCACAAAGGTCTGCTACTTTGGAATGGCACCTTCCTCGTGTTGCTTTGGGAAGCATCCTCCTTAGTCGATCAGTTTGTCTGGCATCCTCTTGTTCAAGGTTCCAGGCCATAAACGTATGACAATCACCTATCCCAGAAACCGTGTTGACACGATTGCTTCACATGAAACGGTGACTCATTCGAGTTCTCTGAGGTGGTATTAAGCATGTTTCAACAGCCTCAACCCAATGGTTAGATTTGGGAAAAACTCAACAGAAGCAAAAACCATCAACAAAGCAAAACTTATTTATTCACCTTTCTAGGATTTCTTTGGCTTTGGCTTGGGGCCTCTCTTCTTTACGGTTTCTGTTGGGTGGCTTGGGGCCAGAGGACCAACCCAGGGCTGGGAGGAACCGCAGACCAAGGCACCAGGGAACCAAATTTTTTGTTGATGCTTTTTGTTATGTTTTCTTGATGCTGCATGCTTATTTTTATCTTTATATAATGCTTATATATGCTTATTATGTTTGATACCTATCCCTTGCAGTTTAAATATCTGATCCTAACATATCCTAACACGATCTCTACGGCATGCGCCCCTTTTCTTTAGCTCTTCAAAGCAGCAATGTAGTACAACATCATTTGTTCGTGTACCATTTCATGGTAGGCTTTCAACAGCTGGCGAACCGCAGGTAGTCGGAATTGCTCAAACCACCATCGGCCCCCGCATCCGAGCCATCCCCACATGGGCCCAGAGACTGGAAAGCCGGCCAGACGCGTGGTTAGGCGTAGGTCAATCCTCTCATCTTGATCGTTTGGAATGTTCAATCCAGTCACTCCAACAGGATCACAAAGAATGTTCAATCGACCCGACTCACCGAGGTCGAATCCAATCTGACTGGGCAGTCGACGCAAGGTCAATGGCTGACTCAGTGCCCAAAAAAGCCAGGAACGGCGAATCTCAATGAACTTGTCAGAAGGCCATTGTTTGTATCCCCGAAGCTGCAATGGAGCACCTGTGAGGCTGATCACATCATGATAAAGGAGACAAAATGAAGCATATCCGTGCGCAAACGTGAGAATCACTCAGCTTGGAGGTCTTTAATACCAGACTTATCCAGACTCCTTGGAATGATTTCAATCTGCAAATGAATGGTGGTTTTCTCTCGCGCTCCTTGCCTACCAATTCCAGCTGCCAAAACTCTGCAGCGAAGCGTGGTAATCGATCTGCCAGGACCTCTGCCATGGATTCTGCCACCTCCTCTGGCGAGAGTCGGTCACGAGGCCAGCCTCTCTCAACTGGCAAGGAAAAGGTGGATGTCATGCAGATTTCAGCTGTCGGACGTCGGCCCGACTCGGAGGGTTTGACTTGCACTGAGAAGTGCAAATCCAATGGCGCTGAAACAACTGGTGGCTTGGCAAAGTTGAAGTCAAAGTCCTGCAAGACATGTGGCAATCTGCATGTCAAAGTAGCGGCACAGTGTTGCCAATTCCGCGAAGCGAAGCGAATTGACCTCTGAAATCACTGGTCCTCATCATCATCGCTATCATGATCTTCCTGGATTGCGCTTGCTCCCTGCTCACTCTCCTGACAGATTGTGATTGGAGTGTCAAAAAGATCAACCCCGCACCTGAGTATGTTCTTTCTGTCTTTCTTTGGGGCCTGTACGATCCTCGAGCCGTTTCTTGCTTGCTTCAAACCTACCTACAACTGACCCTCCGCCCGGCCTTGGTGTCGCAAAAGGCCTGCTGGTGCCATGTACTGCCACCTTGGTCGTTCTTGGTCGCTTGGTTGTTCTTGGTGGCAGTTGGATGAAGAGCAGTTTCCTACCCCCAAACCGACATAGGTTTTTTTGATGAGTAGCCCTGCTGGTTTGGTTAGTTGTTCCACGCCACAAACAAGGGTTGTGTTTGCCATGGCTATCCATGGCTCAAACCTGTGAAGCTGTCTCATCCGACAAAGGATCTGGAACCAAGAAGCTGAGGAGAAAGAGGACGGATGCTGGACCCACTGGATGTATTCGACCTCAGCGCACGTGGCGATGGGTCCCAGTCAGTCTACAAATTCGCCAAGCCAAACCATGTCAAGCGTTTTCCTTTGTGTTTGCTAGCGCGCCACTTGAAATTGGTTGAACCATCATGTCCTAGTGTCCTTTCCCCACTTTTGGGCTTTACCCAACGGTCGTCGGGCCACCCTGTCCCGGTTCGACCAGGTCGCAACTGAGGTCAGCGCATGCTTTCCAGTGAAGACAAATTGAGGCATCGGCCCATCTAAAGATATGCCTCTGTCAAACAATTGCTGCTGATCTGAACTTCTGTGAATAACCCATGCTACCTCCCTATCCGCCAGCCGGACAATCGCAACATTGCTGGCAGCTTGTTGCTGCACTCCAACAGTCAATGTTTGATCAGTGTTGTTCCCTATCATTCTTGAAATATATCTAAATCATTCAACATCTATCAAAATCTGATCTGTTCGTCGCGCTACTCCGGCACAGGGGTAGCCAGCATTGCGTGAGTTTCATTCCGCTTTAACCGCTCGATGGCTTGAGAAAAGATGCTGCAACACCCAGATAACCTGTGGTATTTCAGAGACCTGGTATGGACACGAGGCCTGGAAGTTCGACCTTGGCAACCCAATATCAATAGCATGGCCCAGGTGAACTCAAAGCAGCACTCCTGACAGCTGAAAGTTGCTTGCATCCCAGTGACGCAAGAACACAAGCATCTGCGCAGCTTGTAAACTTGACCTTGGGACCTTGTTTGCGATTCCTTGTGTTTCGCGATTCGATGCTTTGGGAGGGCAGTTGAAGGTAAAAGCAAACATCTCGACCTCACACAAAAAAGGTGCAGAACCCATTTTCTCTTGATGTCTCGTGTGCAAAATACCAGGTACAGCCGGCTTTGCTAAGCTTCTAGAATCCCTGCAGCTGCACTAGTCACTGGCAGCTAGCAACTGGGCAATGTGTCTGGACAAAGAGGCAGGTGATCTCAAAGCTTTGCCAAAGGAGCGCGTGCCTCCTCTCGGAAAACGTCGTTGGGCGTATAATGGAAGTCATAGTTCTCCAGGTTACCAATCCAACCCCACAAAATGAGGACAGGCTGATCTAGGGTTTGCATGCCATGTGCTTGGTATGGATGATGCAACCAAAATGAATCAGGGCCCCCCATCCTGGACACGGTCGAGTTGAGCGGATCAACGGAGTCAGAATCGCCGAGGAAGAAGCGAGCCTGCCCTTGTAGAACATGATAGATCTCAAGAGGCTCGTGGCGATGTGCTGGATAATAGATCCGCGGGGGCAAATAGAAAAAGCCAAACATTGCATTTCCATCGCGATACATAATGCAGTCCTTTAGAGGTTTCAGCTTGGGGTCCATGCATGCAGTGTAGGCGCCACTGGGGTACCAGGGACAGCTTCGAAATTGGCGTGGAATCATATCATTGGGGGGAGAATCGTGGAAAACTTGGAGCTTCTCAGCAAGCGTTCGTGGTTTGATCAAGGGCAAGAGTTCTCTTCCAAAGAGGTGAGCCAGTGGCTCATCAGCTTGCAACCAAAGGTTTGCTGCCTGCTTCAGCCATGAGGTAACCAAGTGAGCAGAAACCTCAGCCAAGTCTGAGATGACTTGCGGCACCTGTTCCACTGGTACCAGGCGTTCTGCAAACAAAGTCAAAAGAGGTTCCGCTTCTGACTCAATGCCATGCAACTTGTCAGGAAGATGAACGTAAACATCTCCAGGAGCCAACTCAATGTGACTGGACATGTCAGTCAAATACTTCCCTCGGCCTTGTACTCGATGATGTAGTTCGATGGATTCATGAACATGGGGGACGTAGTGCCACTCAGGTGAAACCCAAAAGACTCCAACGCGGAACCCCAGTCTTTCCATATCTTCCAAAGCAAAGAACTGTCGCATTGGTGCAGAATCTTGGACTCGGGACAGCTTGTGCTTAGCAGCTGCCTTCAAGGGTGACACCTGCCAAGGGTAGTGTTGGAACTCTTCAGCGATCAAGCCACTTGGTGGAGCATGCTCACTGTGTCCAAGCGGAACACCTTGAGAGCACAGCAAAGACATAAGCCGAGCTCCAAAATCTTGGATTAGAACATCCTTTGACTGGAGCCATTCCTCTGCAGCCTGTCGACATTCCAAAGACACTGGACATTCAAAAATGCCCATTTGTTGGAGGGTGAAAACGCAGGTGGCTCTCAAGCAATTGCTCCAATCGACCTCCTTTAGCCAAATGGCTGCCGAGATATGCAGTCGCTTCTCACCTCATAGAAATGACAGAAAACTACTTTTTTACCCTTATGAAGCCTTGAAGGACCTGTTGTCCAGTCACGCTGTTGAAGCATGAACTTGTGCTAGCTTGTCTGTTGAACAGTTCCGCCATCCTTTTCGGCACAGTGGCGCAAGCATATAAACTCCAGACCCACATGCCTTGGGGAGTCATCCGTTCCAAGGCACTCGGTACTTGACTTTGCCGGGCAATTGCTTGGATGATGCCCTCTGGCTACAATTTGAATGTTTCAGCCAAAGGACAGTCGTGACAGGGCCTCCCAAGTCTTGCCAGTTGGCTTTGTCACCTGACAGCTGTTGTTCAGGTATCCTTCTTGTCGCTGGTAAGAGCTGCAAACATCCCACCCAGAATTCTTGAAAACCAATATGCAAAAAGCAAAGTCGGCAATGGCAACGTTATCATTGCCAGCACATAAACGACACGATTCACATCATTCCAGTAGCTCTGCGAAGCAAGGAGCGACTTCAGCAATGCAGGTCCAGGAAGAATACGGACTGAAAAGAAGACCAAGACCATCAGAAGCCCTAGACCAGTGTACGCACTCCCAGCCACCTTATACTTTGGTAGAAAATACACCACCAGCCAAAGAAAAGGAGTGCTCAGCTCAGCAGCCATCATGTACAAAACGTAGAAGCATCCAGCTTGGTAGTGATAGCTGATCGGCCAAATGATCACACACAAACAGTGATGCAATACCATCAGCATTTCGAATTCCGCACCACAACCAACAGCAGCGAGAAGCAAATCATAAATGAAGTAACCCAGAATGATTGGCATGGCAACTTTTAAAGTTGTCGAGTGCCCATGAACAGTGTCAATGTCAGCATAGAATGCACATACCTGGTAGAGAATGCGGAGCTGCGTGCAAGTAGTTGAACATGTGTCGAATACATTTAAGATCATGTTGTGTCTGCAGAAAAACGAAAAGGGAAAACACAAAAACATGCACGGAACTGCCACAGGGTTGCTTGGTAAAAGGCACTAGCAAAGGGCTCTTCGAACAACAAACCCATAGCTCCTGCAAATCCAGATATTGCAGCCTGACCACAAGAAATCACATAATTTGCCCATTCATGTCGAGCTTTGGGTCCGTCACTTGGATGGAGTTTCTGAGCAAGTTGTTGTAGAACATAGTGCAAAACACCAAAACCAAATGCGCATGCCGCTGCGTTTACCAGCAAACCCGTTGTGTCTGCCATAGCTGAAGCGGCAAACAATCAAGTAGTTTGTAGAGCAAGTTTTGTTTGATATTGCATGTGTTGTCCACCACCTAAACACACTGATCAAACTGCTCAAACAACAGCAAACACCGTTTTCCATGTTCCCGTGTCACTACAGCATATCTAGCCTTGAAACCACTTCAGCCTCACCAAGAGTCTACACATGCCAAAATGCAGCTCGCAAGGTGTCTGTGATTTCCATGAAGTCAAAGTGAATTGATCTGAAGTGCTAAGCTACACATCTGGCTGTGCATGGATTCATGGTATTGGCAAGAGTGAGATATCGTGTGGACAACAGCACCTCATGAAAGCAACAGAGCAAATCCTTTTGACTGCTCGGGCGCTTACCCAAGTGGTAATGCCGAGATGCCTTGCCCTTGTTGGCCAGTACAGCTGCACAAGGGATTTAACCTCAGTAATTCCAACCCAAACGTATGTGTAGGAATGGTTGGTATCTTACAGCTATCTTCTACGGCTCGCTGCACTTGGCACGGGCAAAGTGTGAGACCTGTTTGAATGCGCACTGCACGAGTTTTCAGCCATGATGACTGTCAATCGCAGAGTGGCTGCTGGAAGATGCAAAACAATCTAATTGCACTAGTTGAGTGAATCATCAAACCACGATTTCAGATGTCTCAACTCTTGGAACCACCATATGAGGCGATCTCCTTTGCCAAGCAGGTAGTGATGGTACGGTGGTGTTGGTGCGGTCCCAAGCGCACTGCACCAATTGTGGCGGATCTGGAAGGGCAGCATTGGTGCAATTCAAACGGGGGGCACCCAGCACTTTCAGAACAGCATCGTAGGCCAAGCAGGTGGCGGTCTGAACAGCTAGAAAGTTCTCACGGAAATCTCCACTACAGTTCATGCCAATGACGCTGGTGTAGGCCATGCAAATCCCAAAGCCATACCTCAGGAAAGGGTATGGTCATGTATTGTCTTTATCTTTGCAAATTATCTTTTTGAAACAGTTTGTTTGTTGCATGTTCAAACCAAAGCATCATGGATCATTGTTTGAGTTTGTGCTTGTTTTTTCCGCTCTCGGACCTCCGATTGAAGCCACAAGGTGAGCATCCGCTTCCCCAGTCCTCACCGGGATGCCCAATGACTTTGATTTTGGACAGGTCTTCCGTGGGATCCTGCAAGACCCAGAAGTCCTGGCCAAGTTGGTCTTGCAAAAGACCCATTCCATAGGAACAGCTTCCAGGTCCAGTGGGGCCCTCACACCAGGTATCATTGAGCGTCTTCATTTGCTGCATTCGTAAAAGAGACTGGCGCGTCAAAAAGCCGCCCCTTTCCTTGGGTAAGGAGAACAAATCAAAGAAGAAGGTCGCCAAATCAAGGGCAGAGCTTGCAATGTTGCCCATTGTCCAACCATTCAGGCAGGAGGTGTACAACAAATCTGAGAAGGTTTCGCTATTGTTCTGTGAAAGCCATGACTTCCAGGCATACTGATGCGCAATGCCCGGGTACTGTATACATCTGCCCAGGCGAGAGAAGCTCGTGTGAGAGTATCGGCCTGACCGAAACAACCCCTTTGGAATCACACGAATCTGATCCAAATCCTGCAGGTTTTGCTCGGCAATGAACAAGTGCTGAACATACCTAGGGGGTTTGCTAGTTTGCCAGCTGAATATACAGTTGGAACCTTGAACGTTTCATTAACAGGGCAAGGAAGGGTTGGAACGTTGTCCTGCCACGAGAAGAATCCACGTGCTTGAACCAATAACAAGCCCAAGAGGATGTAGTTCGCACCCGAATAAACGGCCAGAGGATTCGAGGAGTCTGGGGTGCAAATGAGGCCTTGCCTGGCTGCACTCTTTAGATACAGAAAAGGACCGGCATCGTCACCTGCAAACACAAAAATGAAATGTTCCATGTAGAAATCGTCATAGTCAGCGATGCAGCTCGTCATGCCTAGTAAATCATGGACTCGAATGCGCAAAGCGGCCTTGCCCCACAACGCTTCCATACTGCTGTGCCACAAACGAGAAAGAACTGGATCGATCCACTTAGAGGCACTATCCTCTAGTTTGACAATACCTTCATCAACTGCCTGCATGACCATGACTGCAGTCCAAGACTTTGTGACAGATCCAAGTGGAATCAAATCATCTGGTTTCAAGGGCCTTTTGCTCCAAATGCTGTTGACTCCTGAAGCCATTCCCAGCCGCCCAGAAGAGTTCACAAAGCCGAAAGTGAAACTCATGTTGTATCTTGAAGCCATTTCATCGAGAATGGGCTGGACGGCTTGCTTCACATCTGTCAGAGGCTCGCTTGCACGGGCCGAATTGTAAGAAAGCAGCACGAGGATGAAGGAAGGCAAGGATGCCATGATATCAGCCAAAGGTTTCGAGCTGGTCTATAATCTATATCAGCTGCACTAAGTTGTCTAAGTCCATCAGCCCAACCTCTTTTCTAAAACCCTAAGCCTTAAGCCCCGTGCTTCTTTGGCAATCATCAGAGTAATTGAGAGCTTTTGTATCAATTCAATTGCTTGCTAATCTACCTGCAGAGCTGATAGGCCTTCGGTCTAAGAACGCTCAAACGCCTTGCAAAATGGCAGCTCAACGAGAAATTCCCGTCTTGCAGCGCTTGCAAAGTTGGAAAGGGGTGAAAGATCAGTTCCAAGCTCTCCTGCAACACCCGTTCCTTTGTGCACCTGTTTAATCCTCTCGCCCATTCCCAGTTTGGCTCAGAATGACCTGCCAAGGGCTTCCATGCATGCAGGGGCAGTTGGTGTTGCCACTCCTTTGGGGCTTGCAGGAACTCCTACGGTCAACAAACCTTTGTAAGACCACTCCTGCCACTCGATGAGCTATGGTGCATTCTCCGGATCAGGCAGGAAGATGCGCATCCGATCAGCAGGATAGACCTCTAGCAAAGCTCAGAGGCTTGTGGAGCTTTCGCCACAAACCGAGGCTTGTCTGGTTAGGCCCGCACTTTCAGGTCCTCCATGTCTGCAGCCGAGAGATCCTTAAGCTTTCGTTCTTTTTTTGCAAAGGTGCCAGCTGGATGATTCTTTAGAAGCGTCACGACTCCGAAGCTTTCTAGGAGTTGTCCCAAATATATTCAAATATGAGCTTGTATATGCTTGTATGATTGGATTATCTTTGACGCAGCAGAGCGCTGTTTCTCCAACTTTGGGTGACAGTTCAAGGCCCTGACCCAGCCATAGATTGCCAGGTTCTCTTCCATCCTTCCAACAGAGGAGCTCGACCTCACCAAGGTCTGTTTAGATCCCCTGTGCCAGAAAAGAAAACCTGTCATCACTGTCATCAGAAATCAATAATGCATGCTAGGCTTTTCAGTGTTGCCAGGACAGCCTTTTCGATCTGAGCGGCAGTGTGCCAACTTCTACGGTCCAGGGATATTGAATTGAAATCGTCATTTCTCGAAACAGATTCAGATCCACTTTGGATCTACGAATTGATTGGGTTGGGCCAGTTTGATAGAACGCTTCAAACCCCATGCACAACCCTTCATCCTACTCCTCCTTCCGAGACTTCTTGAAAATCTTGAAATTCCTGCCCGTCACCTCCTTCTCTACCGGGTTCTCCGTCGCCATCACCGTCGGCTGGCTGCCCCTCGTCGGGGTGCCCCAAATGTTCGGAATCGCCTGACGACAAAAACTGGGTTGGTAAGATGATGATAACCTCTACAGCCTTCGACTGTTGAAAAATGATTGACATGACCAGATTACTTAAGACATAAGACGATGTGACTAAGGATCCACACCTGGCAGGCCCTCTGCATCACCCTCTGGACCCCCTGGATGCTCTCCATCTTCAGCACCTTCAGGATGTTCACCCTCATACACTCCTGGATGGCCAACGGGAACAGGATTCTCGGGTTCACCATGCTCACCTGGGTTCTCCGCATTCTCGAGGCCCGGCTCTCCCTCTCCAGGCTCTCCAGGTTCTCCGGGCTCTCCCTCACCAGGCTCTGGGAACTTTGCCCCGTCAGCCAGGCCGTGAGCTCCTGCGGCTCCTGGATCTCCTTCTAATCCATCTCCTTCGGGCCCTTCGGGCTCGCCTACTCCCGGCTCTTGTCCTGGCTCTCCGCCCTGCTCTCCTCCAGGCTCACCAGCTGGATCATCATGCGGCCGAAAATGCTGCCCAGGTGGAACAAATTCTCCATTCTCGAGCTGTTCGCCGTCCTGAACATCATAGTTGCACATGGGAGCAGGAGCATCAAAGTCTATCACACAGCTCTGCTTGACTCCACAAGCACACAACTAAGGGCAACACAGCCTCCTGTGGGTGCTCAAGCACCTGAACCAAGCCTCAGTCGCAGGATGGCAAACTCATTTATGTCATGTTCAACAGTGTTTTACCCTCACGCAGCCCCAAAAATAAACTAATTGGCGGAGAAGAGGGACGATCGACAGGACATAGACCAGACCCAGGAAACACTTGTCATAAAGTCCACAAACTATAAACTATCAGTTTTTTCAACTTTTACATTCATTTATTGAGATACACGCGCTAGCACCGAAACTTTAATGTCCGTGAAATGCACGATTCTAAAGGTTGCTGGCCCAGAACAATGTGGGAAAAGTGTGTGTGTGTGTGTTAACCCCTGTTTCGAAGGGAACTAACCTATCTATCTATTTTTCGTGTACTCTATTTCGCTGAGTTGCACTTTGTACAACAGCAGCAGG